TCCATTATCACTTTGCAGTGAAACTGACAAACTTGTTTCCTTGAAGTGGACAGGTTTTGTTCTCTGTTCCTGTTGTTCCAAGAATACGAAACCAGCCTTCAATTTTGCAGTAAGCAGAATTATTTAATTTACTTCTGCAAAAACTTACTTAGCATATTTTATCAAAATTTGTGACATAAGAACTGGCTTTGTTGCTCCATAGCAGCTATTCAAATTGCCAATTTACTTTCATATTGCTGATTTCCAGGCATATGAATAGGGCATATTGTTATATATCAGTCTGGTTATATAGAACTAAATTGTAACAAGCAATGCTTCAGATTCTAAACTTTATTTGCAGTTATTGGGCACTTTTTGATATGCATAGCCCCAAAGCAGCAGAAGAGTGCAAAAATAACAGTACTGTGAATTTGCCACTATCAGCGTTGGGTGAGGATTGTGTTAGGTCCTAGCACTCATTTTAGTTATAGAAGGACAGGAATATATATTTCCTTCTATCATTATCAGGAAGATAACCAGGCCTATTCTGTAAAGCAGCTGGAACCTACCTTATTTTAGTATACAGTTGTAAACACACTAATACATGTAAAAAACTAAAGCACAAACCTATGGCAACCCCATGTGTAGTTATAAGCAATACAATTCACAAATGATGCAAATCAGTGAATTGTGTTATTTTTTTCACTGAATATAAAGCATGCATATTAGTCCACTCTGCAAATAACGCAAACAGTCTGTATGCAAGTGCGGTCCACAACAAACATTGGCATTCTGATATATGTGACGCTATATATCAATAAATGAACACAACTATTTAAAAATCATATCTTTGCAATGCTGGCCATCTTCTACTTTTTCAAGCTTGAACACACACAACGCCATCCGTGTTTTTCACTACGAGCACCACATCTTTTATCGTTGTAGACGTTGAAAGGAGTGCAGGGGACACATCTGCATAGTACATTGCAGAGACAGGGCCAGATTTACTCTCTCTGCTGCCCCAAGGTCAGGTTCTTCAATGCGCCCCCCTACCCGCCAACCCCCTCCATCCCCCCATCCGTGGAGGGTGGGTTAGGGGGGCTGGGAGAGGGCACCCCCCTAAAATGAAGGCAGATAGCACAGGAAACAATAGCTTCTTTGCTATCTGCAGGCTTTTTTTTTTTTTTTTTTTATTTTTCTGACTGTTGCCGGCGGCATTTCTGACTGACGATCGGGCCGCAGCTCCCGATGTCAGAAAAGAAAAAAAAAAAACCATCGCAGGGAAAGGTTTACTCTGCTCGATCGCAGAGTAAACCTTTCCGGGAGGAAGTGTTTCTCTCCATGGCGGCCGGGAGTCGCTATCTAATAGCGGGAGACTCACGGAACATCCGGGAGAGTTGGGATGTCTGAACTACCCCCCGGCATTGGGAGATAGGAATTCCATACCTCTGCTGCCCCTCTACTCCCTGCTGCCCCGTGGCCGGGCCTTGGTTGGCCTTGTGGGAAATCCGGCCCTGTGCAGAGAGTAAGACATTTGTCTGTCCTTAAATCTGCTTGGACCCATCTCAATATCTGTTTAACTTACTTGAAATGTAGTAGCCATACATGTTTGCAATTAAAACTTTTTCTTTCCACTTTCTACTACTAAACTATTACACCATTGCAATGGTTGACTGTAATAGAATGAATGTATTATGAATACGCCATTGTTTATGTTTTATATTAGGATATAAAATACACAGGGCCATCTTTAATATTGCTTGGACCCTTGGTAAACATTTTTTTGAGCCCCCCTCAGCCCCTACCCCCACGCCCATTCCCTGCCCACTCTCCACCCCAACATCCCAAAAACACACAATGTCCCAGCAGCCCAGCCTAGCTCACCTGCCTCTGCCCTGGTGGTGTAGCGGTAGCTCAGTCCAGATGTCACATCTCTCTCTTTTGATTGTCGAGTGTGACTTGACAGAATCCGCCCTTGCGCGACTTCCATCACCTGCAGATCAGATAGGAGGAAACGTCAGAGAGAGATGTGACCCCGTGTGAGTCATGACCCCAGGTGAGAAGTCACGCAGTCACATCAGCTGCTGATATAAATAAAATGAAAAAGTACAGAGAATAAGGAATACAGCACTCACCTGGGATTTGGGACTCAGAGTAGATTTATTGTACAGAAGATTGTCAGTGCGGCAGTGAACAGCGGACTTGTTTATAGAACCAACTTGTAGATCCCTGGCCTCAGTGGTTGTGTTCCCGGGGGGTTAGTTGAAAGGACTATGTAAAAAGTTGTTGGCCAGCATTAGGCGCGGTGCACCGTGCTGGGCAGAGCTGCTGCGGGGCTTATAAAGACATACCACTGTGTTTGTCTGTGTTAAACTGTGTCCAGGTACGAGCCGAGTGTTTGACATAGTTGGCTGCCTATGCAGCCTTAAGGTAGAACCAGCCCTGGTGCTGCATGTGCTGTTTGCGGGCTCAAGGGGCAGCTGCTTTGGACCCCACAGCATTGACAGGGCCCTGGCCAACTGCCCCTTTTGCCATGCATTAAAAACAGCCCTGCACATACATTTCCAAAAGCTGCAACAAGTAATGAATCATGTTAGAAGTAAATTTTCCAGTATAGATGTAACTAAAAAACTTGAGGTGGGTCATTACCCGTTGCCCGGCTTCCTGATTGGCCGGAAAGCCAGCTCCATGATGTTTGTCTGGATCAATGCTGATTGGCTGGGAGGTCGTTTCCAAGCCAATCAGCATCGAGCTGCCTCCCAGAAAATTTAGAAAGCTGGGAGGCAGGTCACTACCTGTCGCCCGGCTTCCTGATTAGCCGGGAAGCTGGCTCCATGCTGTTTGACCGGCTTGATGCTGATTGGCTGGGAAGCCGGCCCAAATACTAGTATCAGTATCAGTGCATCCCTAGTTAATAACAATGTAAATTTAGTATTACCAATATGTGTCCCATTAGGGAGATTTCCTCTCACTTTCTGTCCTGTAGACTCAACTGGAAGTGAAAGGATACATTTCCAATGTGAGGGAAATCCCTTCTTAAGCTGGCCACTTCACTTCGGGTTGGTTATATTCACACAGTTGCCTTTGGCAGCTTTGTGAATAACCCTCTTTGTGTTAAACCTTTCAGGGAATGTAATATGTTCTCAGTGATCTAGTTCACATTCTTTTCTGTAAAAAGCCTTCTTACAGATTGAAAAACCCCAGGATCCTTGTTTGTCACAGATACAGAAGGTTACATGGTTCATGGGTTAATTTAGCAGACCATAAGCAATCAGCATGGGTTTTCAAACAACACAAGTACAATTATTATTCACCTTAAAAATGTAATTACTTTTTATTAAATTTGGCCTTCCTTTGTTTACAATTGCATCTTCTGTGTCTGTTTGTTAAGAAGCCTGTTCTCTTATTAAAGTTAAACCCTGGGATAAGCAAATATTGTCTAAATATAAAAGTCATGTGTATTATTATTGATCTCTTGGTGTGCTTCCTGTATTAAGACCAGTCACTACGCATTCTCTCCTTCTGCAGGGTGACTTGTCTTGTATCCGCCCCCTCCTGTAGTTTTCTGCAGGCAGCCTGTAGTGGGTGGACTGGTTTTGCTCCTCCCACAGCTCTGCTCTCCGCACAGGCTATGTGATGATGTCACCACTTTTTTTACAAGGGAAAATCTGGGTTTTCAAATGCATGGTGCGCACAAAGTTGATTTACATCCTTTATGGCTATTAAGGAATATATTTAAATTTTCAAACCTGGCCTTGGCAATAGGTTGCAGCAGCATGTCATTTCAGTAGCCGACCATGGGTATCTGCCTGCAGGTTATGTATCTACCAAAAATTCACAATTGCATCTTCTGCATGTCTTCATAACCAGGGATAAAGTTCAGATTTGCCACCATAATAGATTCATTGCAAAACCACTTGATTCAATTTTGGGGTCTTATCCAAATTCGCACTGCATGACCATGGTCAGCAGACTCAGAACGGCCAATTATGGGGGGAATTGGATAAACTAGCCCAATCACAATCAAAGGGTGGGGGCAGGACAGGTTTGGATCAGTGAGAACAGGGACAGTATTAGAAAACTGCTGGCTAACTTCTCTACCAGACAAAGCAGGCCTAGAATCAATTGATGAAAGTAGTAAGCCTAGCTGCTAAAACTACTGGGAAAAAATGATTTATGATTCATATAACAGTAGATTGAGATGCTGCTGCCATCTGTAAGCCAAGCTAACTATAAAAGAAAACACTATCAATTCCACAACCAAATATGTGCTGCCAAAGTATCCTCCAAACCTGTAATGTAAAGGATTTGTGTATTTTCCATGTCTTCCTTGAAGCTGCAAGAAAAGGACCTTTCCCCACTGTATACATTTATTTAAAAAAATTGGCATTTGCACAAGTCCCCCACGGCACTGCCCATATCTAGTAGTTATCGAGAAAATCTGCCAATCTATGACCAGCATTCTTCATTAATACTGCTAGCTGGCAGACACAGGGTAGCCAAAAGCAGTTCATTATTTTCAACGATGCCCCTAATTTCAATGTCACTTGCAATTTTGAGCCATTTCGTCTACCGAGGAGGTGATACCAAGGGCGTGTGAAAGTCAATATATTAATTATTCCACCAGCAGAATACACAGAGAGCACTGAGGATTTATTAAATCACCACTGTAATAAGCAGTAATATGTAACTTTGTAAAAAAGTGGAATTTCTATAGTGTTCTCACATATGGCTGTAGTATATAGAAGTTTAGAAAAAGACTTTCTCTGACCATTTACTGCCGATTATTGGGAAAGCCCCATCAAGACTGGAAATAACACAAAAGGTCACTGAGGTTTTGTGTTGGCAGGGAAAGGTCTTCAAGTGTACTTTCACTTCTTAAAAGCCTTCCTACAAAAGTGAAATAGGGAAGGAAAACGGAAAAAGTCAATATCCCCCGCTCATGACATCACTGGATTATGCAATCCAGTAGAATTGTATATAAACAGACCAATGCTGCTGTACTTCAGACATCTTTCTGCTCTAGATCTTGGTCAGAGAGGTTCCAACACCATCAACATGGACAGCAAGTGTGCCGTTATCATGTGCATCCTCCTGCTCTCTACTCCTCTTATTCAAGGTACAGTCAATTACATAATATAGTATTTAGGATCAATGAATAATCAAAGCTTTTTTTTGTACTTCCTTTGCCATTGGCTATACAAGCACTTATCATTCTATCTTTATATTTGTTATTAGGTTTTGCCATTCCTCGTGGGAGACGCTGCCTCTGTAATAATCTAGCTAAACAGGTGAATGCCAAAGCCCTGGGTCAACTGGACGTTTATCCAAGAAGCGCTATGTGTGAAAACACTGAATATATGTAAGTAGAATGCACATGATCACATCATGTAATTGCTGTATATATATGTAGTCACCAAATGATAGACATAGTGCATATTGATCAACCACAAGCCATTTTTTAACAGCTTAGGGTGGTCATACACAGTTTTAGGGTGGACAGATGTTGCAGACAGTAAGATACCTGTCTATTCTTAGAACTGCCTGGACCCATGTTCAGCTCAGTCTACATATAGTAGCAGTATGCTTGCAAATAACACTTTTTCATTCTGATTATTGGATAAATCTTTGTGCAAGGCAAGAATTTACAATGGTTGAAAGCACTTGTTATTGTCCTTTAGCCTAATCCTTTCCTGGTCATTACACGTAATACCCAAATTAGACTGTATTGGCCCATGTATGCCTACAGAGTGAGCTACTTTAAGATAGCTGTGTTGGCAAGAGTTGCTGCATACCTAGGGATTCATTTATAAAAGTTAAGACCAGCCATATGCTGGGCAAATGCTGTTCACACAACATTCTTGCAACTAGATGGTGCCGAGCAAGCATAGGAAAGGCTCCTCAACTTCATCTATGGGTGGGAATGCCATACAAATGGCATTCGTGCAGCATATATTAGGATTGAAGTTTAATGAAGCAACTTCCTAATTTATTTGCACTATGTATTATGAATTAGCCATTGTTTCAGTTTTTGCATAGGGGTAGCATTTTCTTTAAATACCTCTTTAGAATAATTTTTTTTACAATTTTGGATTTAAAAAGAAATTGTTAAATGTGTTCACAATTTTGGATTAAAACAAAAAACATGTTTTTTTTGTGTAGTTAATAATAGTCCTGTACAATCATGTTATTTATTCTAAATTTACTTGAAGGACCCAGCTAGATTTGGAAGAAAATTATAAGTGGGATATTTCCAAATGTAAGAGGCATTTTGCCAGAATTGATACCATTAAACAGTGCAGCTCTTAGAGAATGGTGGCCTGCTGATGAAATAGACAAGAAAGTGAAAAGGCACAATATAGAAGATCTGAAAAGTGACATAATGTGAAATAATTTCATTCATTAGAAAGTGTACAAATATACTAACAATTGCCTTAATATTATTTTTTCTCAGTGTTACATTGAAAAGCTCTGGTTCTACAAAATGTGTCAGTCCTGAGCTGAAAGAAATTAAAGCTCTGCTTAATGGAAAAAATCGGTAGGTGCAATTTTTTAGTATATATCTCCGTATATGTGTAATTTCATAGTTTATATGAGTTTATATATACAGTATATATATACAGGCGAAACTCGAATAATTAGAATATTGTGCAAAAGTAATTGCAGTAAGTGCTGCAAAAGGGGCCCAAACCAAGTACTGAGTACATATGCATGCTTGTATTTTTCAGAGGTCCGATATTGTTCTATGTACAATCCTTGACACAGTCAAAAATTACATACAGTAGTCTGCTTGGAGTATGATATACAGTGTATGAAGATGACCACAGAGATGAAAAAAAATCCAAGGAGCGAGAATTTATTTTATCGAGCTAATAAAATTAACAGTGTATGTGGTTTTTGTTCAAGACACTTCCTTCTTTTCAAAACTGAGTGGTAAAATCAAATACAATTTGAAATTACATTTGTCAAGTCTCCGATGGCATTAATATACTGTATGTTCTGACGGGTTTTTGGTATGAACACTCATAAGAAAATCTACTAGTGTATTGCCAACATTAGAGTTATTTTTTTTTTATGCATTTAAGTTTTTTTAATCTTACAGGTCTCTGAAACATATTCCAGTGATCAGACACCCCTGAGTGACTCTATAAGCTGAGAGACAAGAGAGAAGATTGAAAGCCTTCCAAAAGAATAAATTATTACTTTCCCAACTGTCATATGACTAAGATGTCTGGACATGTCCATCTGCAGCTGGAAAATGCAAATATGTATATCTTTTTGTAAATATGTAATGTATATTTTTTTTTCTTAAAGTGAAACTTTAACCCCCCCACCCGAATTTAACTTTTTAATGCAGGAGAGACATGCTGTGTCTCTTCTGCAATAAAGGATTCTTACCTGCCTGCTCACAGTCTTTCTGACAATGTACCCCTGACTGCGCATGCACAACACAGTGTACAATTTGAATGAGCTCCCATGCATGCGGGGAAGGTAATTCATCCTTTATGGCCAATCAAGATGGCTAAAGATCCCAAATTTGGAAGAAGACCAGGCGGAGATGGTGGCACGGACAAGGGAGCTTGCAGACTTCAAATCACTGGAAGAAATAATGAATACACTTATTACCAATATTATATTTTTATACTTGTAAATACCATCTGTTTAAACAGTGTTGATGTAAATACATGCCTCTTAAAGTATTTTACTACCTAAAAATTTGTGGATTTTATATTTTTATAAATAAATCTATTAGAAACATTTATGGTATGCTTATTCTGTTTGGATGGAAGCAAAAACTAAATATTTAAGAAAAATTGTAGTATACAGTGTGCTAAATACTCCTCGGGGTAGTGTTGGGGTTATATTAGTCACAAGCCATACGGTTGTAACAAGTGAATATGAGTCACCTCCTTAGTTTTTCGAATACTGATGCAACAAGCAGTCTGGTCTATATATACAATACCAAAGTGTATGAGTGAAGATTGCTCTCCTCTGCTGTGTAGCAAGTCCTGCCAAGGTTTGTTTTGTAGTTGTGAATTCTTACTCTGCTTGAATCTAACATACAAAGGAGACAGGTTTGTGTTATAACACATACCTCACCAATGTGATATCAGAGCCAAACAATTGTCCTGCTCAGAAATTACCGGAACATACAAAAACTGTGTAAAGCTTTGTTGCACCTGCAGGTCTCACTTCGGTCATTCGATCCTCCCATCTGCAGACTCTGCCAAAGGTGCACTTTAAAAAAGCCATACACCAGCAACTCTGGAGACCCATGAAATGAGCCCAATAGTATAGTAGAGTGTATAATTAAAATGTATTTATTTATTTACCGTAGGTTAGCTCTCACCAGTATCATTAAAGACCCGGGTTTCTGATTGTTTCTGCTTTGTCTGGGGAATCTGCAGAGTTTGCTGTACTCTTTTACTCTTGCTGCTAATGTTTCTCTCGATGCTTGAATCTTTTGTTTTTTATTGCAGATAAAAATATATACATATATTTTAATATTCCGTTAACTTTTTTCTTCTGTTTTGTGTACACCTTAATTTTAATTAATTTTAATTTGATAAAAATAAGTGAAACAGAGGCCAATGGCTTTCTTTATACATATACTATTTACGCTATTCAAATTGGAGCGTTATAACTTTCTCCAAAATATGGATATTGTTGAGCCACCTAACGTGAACCACCTAACTTTATAATGGATTGTGGAGGGGGAGAAAATAGCAATGAGTCTGAAGGAAACTAGTGGCAAAAAGGAAGGTTTTATGAAGTGCTGCTGAAATGTGTAGGAAAAGTGTAGGATTTCTCCAAACAGCTGGAGAGGGACTGACTAGTGATGGACCGAACACCCCTGTGTTCAGTTCGAATTCAAACTTTAGAGCATGGACAAAGTTCGAATTGGAATTCGAAGTCAATGCAAGTCTGTGGGGCCAGAACATTGAAAATCAATTGTCCCCTTTTTGAAGGTTTATATGCAAGTTATTGACCATAAAAAAGTGTATGGGGATTTGGGTACTGCCCTGGGGGACACGTATCAATGAAAAAAAAACTTTAAAAAAATACTGTTTTTAAAGGAGCAGTGATTTTAACATTACTTAAAGTAAAACAATAAAAATGAAAAATTCCTTTAAATATTGTGCCTGTAAAGTGGTACCCCTGTAACCAAATATTAATGTCAAAGACTGAAACCACATAAATACATATCAACTAATGCTATACAAGTACCAAGTAAATCCTTAGTCATTTAAATGCAAGTTAAGTATTTTACGAATAGTTTGTTTAGCGATGCACCAATATTTTTTTTAAAGGGAGTAACGTGAAAAAGTTTTTTACTTGTATGGTTATATTGTCACATTGGGTCCCAAACCCTAATCTGTAGGAGCCACAATTTCCATACACTGCATTGATGATGGCTAAATAGCCTGAAGCAGTTGAATGCAGTAAGCAATAGGTTGCTTCTTGGCTTTTGACACTTCAATAGCAGGGCAGGGAGATGGGGTGTCAGCTGATAACAGACCTCCTTCTCAGTATGAGCACCTGCTGGAGTTTGAGAGTGGACTGCCCTTCTTCTTGTTTACCCTTGTCATGTGACATTTCACATTACCAAAAATGGAAAGAAGGAGAAGTTGCCTCAATGTCTGGGCAGGCATTGTGCTAAGAAGGAGGTCTGAACTGTGGAGGGTGGGAGGTCAAATAAGTCCCAGATCTGCTCTATAGCCCTCAAAGCCCCAAAAAGTTTATAGCCATCCTACCTCCCTCAGAATGCTTCAGCTTCCCTCCCTTCCATAGAGCCAAACAGGGCCCCTTAGTTAAACACACCCTACAGAGCTTCCCCCCAGCTCCCAGGCCTCCTCCTTCATGCCGCTGACACAAATGCCAAAGCAGTCCTTGTCAGACTTACACGACTGATGCAAAGGCATTTTCTCTTTCCACTGACACCAACTCAGCGGTATTTCTCCTCCCGCTAACACCAATGTAACTGCATTTTTTCTTCTAACAGACACCAATGCAACAGCATTTTTTTTTCAACTGACACTATTGCTGAAGCATTTAACATTTTCAGTGACACCACCAACGCAGGGGCATTGTTAGAGTGATGTACTGCATCCTGCCCGCACTTGTTCATAGTGGTAGCGGAAGCTGTGCCCATTGGTCCAACCCTTTACCAACCTCTGTTCCCACCCACAGCTTGCAATGTTAGTTTATTGCATGCTGAGCTGGTGGCGGGGCGGGAAAGGTGGTAGCATAGAGCCTCAGCTCAGTTGGATCCCATCAGCCACTCTGTGATGGCTACACCTGTATAACCTGAGCCAGCCTGGGTGAACTCATTAGAGCAAGTAAAACTTTTTAACTTGCACTTATTCAGCCATTGTTACTACTGAGAAAAAGGATAGAGTAAGGGTGGGTTATAACACCTGTCCGCTTTTTTTTGCCCTCTGTGCCCCATTGGGGAAATTTCCCTTCCTGTCCAATAGCCACAACAGAAAGTAAGAGGACATTCCTGGTGGTCAGCAGGGTCCCATTTTTGTTACCAAACCTTTATTTGGTTAAAAGAGGTGTGAGGTGAAGATAATGATGGCTTCTGTAGGTTTAGCAATGTATATCAAATGGTCACTTCACAGCTCCCTATCTACTGATGCAGGGGTCAGGAACGGTGAAACCGGTAGTTTGCTAGAAAGCTGTGCACATGGATCGGTACCTTGTGAACTGTCTTTTATACCGTTTGAATGGTTTTTAATTGTTTTATGAAGATTTCCCTTCTATAGGCCAACTCCTGAAAACGAGCACTGGCTGCCACCTTGTGGATGGTTTGATCCTGGTTTTCATATATAGTATAGTGACTGTTGATTGAAAAACATTTATTTCCAATCTGCACTTATCCACTTTTAAAAAGCTATCCCGATACACAGTATACAAGTCTGATTTGGCTATCTGTTAAACCAAGAAAAAGGGGGTGAACATAGTCAAATCAATTACAGTCTTAAGGTGCTATCATTCCTAAAAATGTTATAACTATTCAGAAGAAACAGGGCATTTTTAATATAGCACCCAAGAGAGATCCATTGCAAGAAAAGATTTGTTTGTATACAAATGTATTATTTTTATAACAAAATATTGAAATTCAAAATATATAGTTAAAACATATAGATATACAATATATACAGTAGTTTTTTAGTCCATTACAATATTCAGCATATTTTCATTCCCTTGGAAGGTTCAAAGGTTGACCCACTTGATGGATTTTTTACGCTTTAGGACTGTTACAGAGAAAACATACTGAGAGCCTTAATTATATTTGTATGTGATGTAGTAAAAATAAAATGCAGTTATGCTGATCCCCTTATGCCTAGACAAAAACAAGTGCTCCCGAGGTCATTTATATCAAGCTCTCCCTGGTAAACTAATAAAAAATATTCTCAGGTTGTAGTTATTGATCAGCAACAGGTAGGGAAAAGAGTGCTCAAATAGAAAATTCCTATTTTATTTACAATGTTATACCAAACATGAAATAGACATTCAAGATAAGTACAATTATCTGTCATCCTTGATAAACCTTCTATATAAACCCCTAATGTCTACACCACTTCTTAGCTTTAAGTTCCATACCACGTTAAATTCTAGAAACAACTTGATAAAGTAATCCTATCCTTCCATAACTTTAGACTAATTCAGGCTTCTCCAACGGTGAGGCGGTGATAAACGTATGTGTTTTGCAGCATAAAACTTGCTGCTTTCTCAGGAGGTATTTAGTGGTATCAAGAAGTATCTAGATAACTCTAATTACCTCCAGAGGAAGCAGTGAATGTATTATGCAGCAAAACACATAAAGGTATGTCTGAATGAATCTAAAGTTGTGGATGGAGGAAATTACTTTATCAAGTTGTTTTTAGAATTAAATAAGGTATGACATTTAGGCCTGGTAAACACCTGGGCGTTTTACAGCGTGTTCCTACGCGCTGTAAAACGCTCAACATGTGAAAACCAATAATTGCCTATGGGCATGGTTTCCACCTGGGCATTTTACAGCACGTAGGAACGCGCTGAAAAACACCCTACGCCCAAAGAAGTACAAGAGCTTCTTTGGGGCGTATTTGCCGCGCGTATACATTAGGATACAGCCGGATAGCCCTCAGAAACGCGCGTTTGTTCGAAAGCCCAATGTTTTGTTGAAAAGTGTCTATGGAAAGTAGGATGTACCTATAGATAGAAGATGTAATGTAACTCTCCAAAATGTCATATGTATAGTACTTCTAAAAATTCAGGCTGTTGTGAGTAGCCTGTCCAAAAACATTCCTGCACAAGACTCCTGGTGACCACATGCTAGATGTATAAGGAGGATCACATGAATGAAAATATAGGATTTATATAGGATTTATAAACCTAGTTGTTTTCAAAGCCATCGTGACACTGGCTACATACATAGCCAAATAAGACATATATCAGACACAAAGCAAAATCCCCCATCCACAACATCAGCTGGATCAGAGGAAAGCCGGGTGAATTGAGTTGGCAGTTTACGCTCCATGCAATCTCCATGCAAGCTCCAAGTAAGAGAACATTCAGACTTATTTAGTCATTTTACTAAAAATGTAAACTCTATACAGCTGTTATATATGGCTAAAGTATAAATCAAGTAACTATAACATTGTCTTTAATAATTTATTAGCCACACAGATTTCCGGGAAAGTCCCCTGGAGATGGAATTTCCAAATGATCACTTGGTAGGAAAAGGTCTTCAGCTGTACTTTCACTTCTGAAATGCTAACACTGCAATGTGGAGGGAAAAAATAGAATATGATAACATCATTGGATTATGCAATCCTGTAGAATTGTATATAAACAGACCAATGCTGCTGTACTTCAGACATCTGTCTGCTCTAGATCTTGGTCAGAGAGCTTTCACTTCCAACACTATCAACATGGACAGCAAGTGTGCCGTTATCATGTGCGCCCTCCTGCTCTCTACTCCTCTTATACAAGGTACAGTCAATTATATCATGTGCAATTTATGTATAATCACAAATTGTCTTTTGTACTTCAGTGGTTTTGGTCTACACAAGCACTTATCATTCTATCTTTATATTTGTCATCAGGGTTTGCCATTCCTCGAGGGAGACGCTGCCTGTGTAATACTCTATCTAAACATGTGAATGCCATGGCCCTAGCTCAACTGGACGTTTATCCAAGAAGCGCTCAGTGTGAAAACACTGAATATATGTAAGTATGACGCACATGATCACATAATGTAATTGTTATATTCATGTATAATTACCAAATGGTGAGTAATGCATTCCTTAATATTATTTTTCCTCAGTGTAACATTGAAAAGGTCTGGTGAAACAAAATGCGTCAGTCCTGCCCTGATGGAAATAAAAGCTCTGCTTAGTGGAAAAAATCGGTAAGCGCTATTTTTTCATGCATCTCCCAAAATGTAATTTAATTGTTCAATGTACACATAGCCACAAATTACATGCAGGTAAACTGTGTACAGGAGTGATATTATTGAATTCTTAAACAACTGTTGAATTTATTTGTAAAATCATATCAAAACTTACAGGGCTGGTCATTCAATTTTGCTACCATTTTAACTGGTTTAATGTCCTCTTAAGGCACCATTCACACCTATATTTTAGGTGTGATTAGGTATTCCTGCATCAGGAGCTTGTAATTTCCTGCAGCAGGAATCCCTAATCTGCTGCTTTCAAGCGGCAGCTGTCACTAGTTGAACACTGACACACCGTATGCAACTTTAAGTGATACAATTACATAGGGTTAGGAATAATCACGCTCCCTGGACGCATGATCGATGCATCCAGGGATAGTGATTGATGCCCAACAGCAAGCAATCGTATCACATACAATTACATGCAGTGTGACGGCATTATGCTGCTTTCAAATGCAGCCGCAGTCACTCAATCATTAACTTGAACAAGTGACAACTGCCGCTTGTAAACAGAAGACTACGGATTCCGGCTGCAGGAAATAGCAAGTTCCTGATGCAGGAATCCCTAATTGCACCTAAAATATAGCTGTTAATGGGCCTAAGAGTCCACTGGTTTTGTTTGTTTATATATTTCTGTTTTAGCAAGCCAAGTGATAGGGAAAAATCTGTAAAATGATGAACTGTAATTTAAGACATTCCAGCATGAATATGAATAAGATACATCTATATGGATTCTTATTGTTGTGTTTCTTAAACAGATGCAAATAGTTATTTACACCAGTCAGTTTATCCTGCTAACCTAATGCACGTGAAGTAGTAATGGGTGTCATTAGTATGCAGCCCACCAAAAAGATACCAGCTAACGTTTGCAGAGGGAAATAATGATAGTGATTTTAAATTATGCTGTAATTTATAAACAAGGTGTATTTATAAATCAGTGAATATGACACTCACCAAACATTTGCTGCAGGACATTCACCAAATTTGCTGCAGGTGAACCTACTTGCAGCAGTAAAGGTCACATCTACTGCTTTATAAGCACACCCCTTAATGTAGTATGTTTTCGATAAGACAACCTTTATGCAATGTCATATCATCATGAACTGTATGTCTTATAAACTATATTTTCTATTATCCAGGTTCCTGAAACATATTCCTGTGATCAGACACTTCTGAGTGAATATGCAAGCTGAAGGATATGGCTGATGTCGGAGAACATTTCTTTGTTTTTAAGCAAGTTCATGTATTTAAATTATGTATATCTTTTACATGTGGCAAAGGCTGAATTTTACAAACATCAGGAGAGGGCTTAGAAAACCTGGCATGGTCTATGCAAATGAGCGACTTTCTCCAAGGTGTCCAAAAAAACAAGAAGACCATGTCTTGTTGGGTCGTGAAATAAAAGCAATTAGGTCATCTCTCAATGCATACAGGCAAAAGGCACGACTTCTTTTTTCTCATATGCATAGACAGCACAAGGGTTTCTAAGTAGAGTAGGGCACAAAACAACCCTATTACACTGTGCACTAAGGTTGCTGTAAAGGACACTGGAATAACACTTGACAGAGCCAAACTTGAAAAATAAGTTTACAGTAGAAGCAATAATCAATCTTCATCAGCACTATATATTTATACTTGTAAATGTATATGTATACTTGTAAATACCATAGGTAACATAAAGTCATTTTCTATTTAAAAGATGTTTATATTTATATTTCCATAAATAAATCTATAAAAAAAAGTTTGGTGTGCCTATTTTGTTTTGATGATGATATATACAGTATATGTATTTGTTACACCCCCGACCCATCCTTGTCCTATGGTGATCCGTAGCAGAATTAGGATCCGTTTCATTTGAAAATCACATTGTCGCCTCCAAGCAATTCATAAAAGGCCTCACACATGCTAATAATGTATGATACTAAAAGAATCACATGTAATTATAGAGCCATTAAAGATCCATATCAGTGAGGTTGATTTAAAAAGGTAAATTGGCGGTTCACTTTACTTTTGCAAGTGAATTTTCCTTTAGCTTAGTGAATCTGGTGAAAATTCACTTTCCAAAGAATACCCAATCACCTGCAAGGAAAAAACAACAGTATTTGTTTTTTCAGTCAGCAGAGGTTCACTTCAATTACACTGCAGCAATAGATTTACTATTCTCCCCTGCTAACATGAATAGGTTAAATCATGATCCATAGTACATAATATGTAATTGTACTATGGATCATTTAACCTATTGTAACCCTATTACTGCAGTGTACTGGAAGTGTGTACTAGGTTAAATGATCCATAGTACACACTTCCAGTACACTGCAGTAATAGAGTTACAATTCTCCACTGCTAACATGAATAGGTTAAATCATGATCCATAGTACATATACAGTACACACGCCCAGTACATTGCAGTCTGCAGCAAAAGATTTACAATGCTCCCCTGCTAACATGAATAGGTTAAATGATCCATAGTACAACTACATATTATGTACTATGGATCATAATTTAACCTATTCATTTTAGCAGGGGAGAATTGTAAATCTATTGCTATAGTGTACTGAAAGTGTGTGCTGTGTATATGTACTACATTTACAGTAGACACTTCCAGTACACCGTAGCAAGAGATTTACAGCCAGCCCTGTCCCAGCTTCCCTCACTCCCAGTTTCACTACGCTCCTTGGTGCCTCACACGGTGCCTCTAGTAGTGTTGAATCAGTTTTTATTAATTTTCATAAAAGAAGAATCAGACAATGCACATCATAACTCAGACATTTAAATCACATTATTGGGAAACAATATGAGGGGGGAAAACTCTCAGTGGCACGGCGCTGACATCTGTCTAGTGTCCAACTCGCTGCATTTGGTTAATTTGCATGAAGTAAAGAAAAAACAAAAACAAAGTTCCACCCAATCTGCGTGAGCACTGTGAACAATATTCTAAACAAACACTTCCAGGAGCACACTACAGGTCTGTCCGAGCCTGTGCAGTCTGGAGTTATCCACATTATTAGCATACAATATAGTCTTCTTGTGGACCGTCTGACTTTATATTTACATTAGAGAAGCATTAAACAGAGGGAAAGCGGGGAGTAAAGGATAGAAGGAGGAGAATAGTATACAGGAGGTAAGACTGGGGTTGGGGGTGATAGGGGGGGTTTATCAATCTGCAGTTATTGATGTGTTACGGAGGCACATGTTTCTCATATCCTATCGGGAGACCGAGATTAGAGGAGGGACTGGAGGTCGCCCGAGCCAGAGAAATGTATCCATACACTCCACTGCGATATGAATTTGGGGAAAGTGTCATTATCTGTCGCCATGAGCTCCTCCATGTGCATCACATCATTAACTAGGCTCACCCATTTGGAGATGGGTGGGGTAGTCGTCGTTTTCCAGTACATGGGGATCACCTGTCTAGCAGCAGACAGGAGGTGCCTAAGTATCATCAATTTTTGGGATTTCCGGGATCCCGGTAGGAGCGACAATAAGGCTACAGAAGGCGTGGGTGCCAAGGTGTCCCCGTATAAGCGATTGTAAATCGTAAAGACCTTTTGCCAGAATGAGAGAACTAAGGGACATGTCCACCAAATGTGCAAGTAAGTGCCTCTTACCTCATTGCAGCGCCAGCAAGTCTCTGGAGAAGAAGGGAAGATCCGGTGTATGGAGACTGGGTCTCTGTACCACCTAGTAACAATTTTGTAATTATTTTCCTGTGCATATGAGGAAACCGAAGATTTGTGTGTGCAATAGTAAATGGTAGCCCAATCTGATTCCGACAAGTCCCTGTTCAAGTCAGCATGCCAATGGGCCCGCGAGCCCAGCGGCATCTGATGGAGAACCTCTCTCAACATCCCATAAACGACCGAGATCGTGTGGCGAGCCCTTTCTTTAGAGACAAGTATGGATTCAAAAGCAGTTAGTGGTCTGTGCGTCTGCCCTCCAGCATGTAGCGTGGAACATATCCCCGATAGTTGCCGATCCAACAGCCAATTTATCTCTAAACAGAGTTTTGTGCCGTATACGAGAATAGCCTTTCTGCCATACAAAACTGTTCACCATGGTGCGCAGAGAACTGAAGAACTGTCTTGGCGGTCCTATGGGGATCGTCTGAAAGACATATAATAGTTTCGGCAGGGTCTCCATCTTTAGGACATCAAGCTTGCCAAACCACGAGATCTTCATATTGTGGTATGTCTCAAAGGTTTGACGCAGAGAGCTAAGTATAGGCTGGTAATTTGGTAACCCGGGAGGGTGCTCCCGGTTATCAGTAGGCCGCACAAAGTGTCCCGTAGAGGGGTGTACAAAGTCTCGAGCCGTGGGGCAGTCATTTCTCCTGTATCCTCCCACTGAGGGGATAGCTACCCCCATGGGGAACAGGGGATTGTCAAATAGAGATGATAGGGGCCCCGGTATAGTGGAGAGAGAAGAGGTATGACAGGTCCTCCGCCATGTTTTTAAGGTTGCGGCTGTAAGGGGGGGAAGGGCGGAGGAGTGCGGTGGCTTCGACGTGTAAGCTCCAAGGAAGGGCTCTCACATCTATA